TGTCGAGTTGAAAAGAAGAGAGGCCGTGTCGGATCCGCGGCGCTGCGGTGGCGGGCCCGGGCCTGGGCCCTGATTCTCGCCGCTGCCTGCTGCCCGTGAGCCGCCCTCCGTCTGTGGCGCTCCACTCCGCTTCTATCGGCTGCGATGGCTCAGTGGCAGTGTGGCCCTTGCTTCTGCAGTCACTGACCGGGCTGTTTTCGACACTCGCCATTCAGACCCTGTCTGGAGGAGAATTCATGCGTTCTACAGTATTTACCGGCATTTTCCGTGGTGCCTAAGACCAACATAAAACCAATTCCACGTCAGTACCCTAACAAACGGATCACAGGTGACGCGCGATATTTACATCCGTGTCCTTGTCATCTCCCATCCCCCACACACATGTACTATACTATCACACACGTCGAGAGACTATTTGGGAACTTCGTACTTGCCCGGCCTGGGGCCGGCGCTCGCTGGGAGAGGTACTTGGAGGGAGAAACTCAGCAAGCCAACATGTAGGTCGGCACCGGATTCTACATTTTAGGAAGAAGGATCACTTTCACCTCCCTGGATATAACATACAATAAACGTACGGGGATCATTGTAGCTAACACGTTCACAAACATGAAATAAGTACTTACTGTCTACCATCGCCCCTTCTACCAGTTCGGATACGCAATCTTTATCCGATCGTGCAAATGCCGTTTCTCGCCATTGTCAGCAGTTTGTTGTTGCTATTAACACGATGACAATTCGGACCCTGGCGGGAGGAACAACCGCACGCGGAAGCCGGGGAAGGGTTGTGCATTTAAGTTATTTTCTGCTCTCATCAGAAGTCGACATTAGACACTTGGCAACGGGAAAATGAATTTGTCTCGGCGTAGCATGTATTTAACGCCTACTGGGCTTCGAACGGCATGGTCAGGGCCAAAAATGAGATTTTATTTTTCTGAAGACTAAAGGTGGGCCTTATATACGAATTATATGCATTTTTCCTGAGATCTTCCACTGCTTTGTGAATGTTTCGCAAGTTCCCTTACCTCTCTTCATATACTCTCTTCTCGACGCTTTTTCTCCTTTATTGCCTCCCAGAACAATTTTGTTTTTCCAAGAATTTCTACCTTTTACGCACCGTTGTCTTCTTCATATAATATTGCTGTTTCTGTTTTCTTAACTATTTTTTGAAATCTCTTGTGTAATTATTCATAGTACAAAAATTCTGGATAAACCAAAAGGGTAATAACTTTTCCAAAACGATAGTTGAACATTACTGTATCTCACAATACATTTTCCGAATTCTGCTCATTCTGTCCTTACCTCGTCCTTCTCATATTATGCCCACTACATCGTATTGCTCTTAAATGCCCCACTGAACACTAGCCACGCGAAAGCCGATTTC